ATGCATGCTCAATGCGATGCAACCTAGGCATGGAGACTAAACATGCAACATGAGCATGTGGACATGTATACATGCTAGCAAACATGCAAAGTATAATCTTAACCATGCAAGCATGCAAGATGCAACATGGACAACATGTTAAGTACAATGCATGCCAAATGCATTACAACCTAAGCATGCAAATGTGTAATGTAATAAGCATGGAACAAGGCCAAATATGCAACAACACATAAGGCAAGCATGCAACACATGCGAAGGATGGTCTTAAACAAATTTGGCCAGCCCTAAAACAAGCCCAAAACAGTGGCCAATGCGAAGGAAATGGGGCCAAATGCACATACAAGCATGCATGCATACAAGGTCCAACACTTAAGCATATAGAGACAACTTTTAAGCACACTTAAAAGAGGAACATCATGGGCACATGGCATGCATACTAAGCTCTGAAAAACACATGTGGATGGTGCCAAACCAATCTAAACCGAGCAATCAAAGCATGCTAACAAGACCAAAGCTTGAGACCAACCAAAGGGCTCAAACCATGGCCATGCCAACCAAACCTCAAAGGACAAAGGGGACTCCAAACAGCCCCAATGCAGGTCTAAACAGACAAGCATACAAAAGGGTCCAAACATGGGGCGCAAGACAATAGCCTTTTAACACATTAAAGGGGCATCAAATGTAAGCATACAAGCACACCAATAGGACTGAAATGGCATGGAAAGTGGTTCCAAACCACTTAAACAAGGCAAGGACGACATGCTAGAGGGGTCAATGCTCAAGGCATACAAGAGGGATTACATGGTAGCTATACAAAGCGAAGCATGGACGACCTGAATGACTAAAAATAGACCTCAAGCACACTAAAACAAGCATAAAAGCTTCACAAAGCTAGGCCAAAACCCATGAGCATGGTAGTCTAAATGCTATGTACATGTTAAGGCAAGTCATGGCATTACAACACATGTATGCAAGGCAAGCATGGTGTGTCTAAACCAAGTAAAAACAGTGCTATATCATGGCAAAGTAAGCACAAATAACACTTAAGACATGGTCAACATGAACTTAAAAATGGTGCTCACACATGAGTCTAAAATGGCACTTTTTGAAGGCAACAAGGAGAGGGATGTCCCTCTCCTTCTTTGGACCATAAGACACCATCCACACCACTAAAATCCCTCAAGATTTCAATGGTGAGGAGGCCCAAACAAGATGGTCCCGGAGCTCACCAAAATAACACAAAAATAGGGTCTAACAAGGCCTAAGAGGGGTCAAACAACCCCAAAGCTCAAAGCGACCTTAAACAAATATTTTAAGAAAGTAAAAATAAGACTTTTATATGTTATACACTAAGCTTGAAACAACAAGCAAGGTAGGCAAAAAGACTATGCAAAAATGGGGTAAAAAGGGCAAGAATCTTACCCTTGAAGACCGTTTTCACAAGGATCACTTTAGCAGCTTTCTTAGCTCCAAACCTGCTCAAGAACTTCAAGGACATGCCCTTAATGCCTCGGCAATCAAGGTAAGGTGTAATGGTAGGTGTCCTAGTGCAAAACTAAGGACAAACACACACTTAGAGCAAAAGAGAGGCAGAAATAGAGATAGAATAGATACACTATGCTAACCCTAGAACTAGAGCTCTCTGGAACTTTTTTGTAACCCTAGATGAGGGGGGAGAAGCCTCCTCTTTGTAGAGCTTCACTCTTGCAAAGCTTACAAAACAAGCTAAGCAAGAGTGAAATCCCTCCATACACGTGTATGGAAGGGGTGCAAAGTGTATGCCAACTAGCACAGCTGGCGTAAAAATATCTACAAAAGCAGATGCACAGTGATTGGCCAGCCAAAAATGCCAAATTGGCCAATACATGGTCGACCGACCACAAAGAGTGCCGACCGACCAAACATATGGCCGATGGCAACAAAACACGGGCCAGTGGCCTCAAAGGCAAAACACAAGTGTTTGGTGCAAAACCAAACACGAAACAGTCGAGTCGAGAGATCTTGAGGTAAGGCGCGTAGCCGTGACCTCCGGGAACTCAAGACGAACATAAACATGGATGATCACCAAGTGTTCAAACGGTGACGTCCAAGTCTTGAGGATGGTCAAAAATGGGGTGCCTACAGTTGCCCCTCTTTGACAGAACTCGAAAGTCATGACAATGATGGGAGTGAATGTCAAAGCCCAGAGACGACGCATTTTTGACAAGGCCGAAGACTTAGACAAAGCATGGAAGACAATAAAGATATGCGCCCGAAGGCGGTGGCAAAATGCAACTGACTATGCAAGAAGCCGAACATAACTTATGATTATGCAAAGGAAGCTGTAACGAAGCATAATATGTGACAGTTTTAAGCAATCAAACACAAATCCAACTACATTATAATGCAGAAAGGATGTAAGAGAATTATTCAATTCTCGATACGTCTCACACGGAGAATACAATACCTGTGCAGCTCGTCTGGTTGCACTAACTTCAAACGAACCGTACATACAATATCGTGCCTGAAAGAGAAAGAAAACTTTAACAGGTACGATATCATTAGCAATATGCATAACAATGCAAGTTAAGACTGCGTGACAACGCGAGTGTAGGAGTGCATGACAATGCAACCTATGCGCAGAATGATATGCAATATTTACAAAGCTATGTATAAACAATGCAAATGATATGCAATGCAATTGAAACATGATCAAACCATAAGCGGTTCAAAACCACACAAATGTCAAAAGGATGATGGAGATACAAAGTCCATCTACCATAGAAAAGGTGCCGCAACCCTCAAACCACAACACCAGCAGTGGAATAGGCGCGTACACATGCAGAACTATGAGTAATGTAGACAGACACAAGAACAAGTAATTGGGTAGAATGACATAAGTGGGGAAATGACCCGCTGAGGAAAGACCGTGATCCTAAATGCCGGATGCAACAAATTACACTACAATGTAATATATACAATGGATAAGGCCTATGGCCAATCCGTATCTTGCCTAGGAAAGGCATGGACACATACAAACCACGTTTAACACAGAAACGGTGCCGTCCTCAAACCACAATACCAGCAGTGGAATAGGCGCGTACACATAATATCATAACTGTGCTTCGACATGAAAAATATGGGCACATACCAGACCAAGCTCAACATGGAAAGGCGTAAGCCATAGATGGATGTGATGCAGTGAATGCATGCAATACAAACTATGTACAATACAACGAATGCATGACAATGTGCTATTTACAATGAATGCATGACATATGCACTATTTACAATGCAACCTATATACTAACATGCGATGGATGTGGTGGATAAGGCCTACGGCCAAACCGTGTCTTGCCAAGGAAAGGCATGGACACGTACAAACCATGTTTAACACGGAAACGGTGTTGTCACCCTCAAACCACAATACCAGCAGTGAAATAGGTGCGTACACAAAATCTCATAACCGTGCTTCAACGCGAAAAGTACGGGCACATACCAGTCCAAGCTTAACATGGAAAGGCGCAAGCCATAGATGGGGGTGATGCAGTGAATGCATGCAAGCTACAATGCAAAATATACAATATGCAATTGATGGATGTAAATGCAATATTTACAGTGAATGCATGCAATATACACTATATACAAGGGATGCATGACATATGCACTATTTACAATGATGCATGACATATGCAAAATATACAATGATGCTTGACATATGCAAAGTTTTTTTTGTTTTTCTTTGAAAATGCATGAAAAGTGCATGTTTTGCATGTTTGTTTTGTTTTGTTTTGTTTTTTTTTTTTTTTGAATGCATGACAATGCAAATGAGGGAAAAATGCATGACAAGTGCATGATAATGCATGATGATGCGAATGCATGACAATGCATGTCTTTTGATATGCATGTCAATGCACAATGAATTTGAATGCGTGACGACGTGCGTCGCTTGAAATGCATGACAATGCATGTGAACTAGAATGTGCGACAACGCGTGTCGCTCAAAGTGCATGATAAGATGAAACCTACCGAAAGTCGTTCGAGCACGACAAACACCAAAGGACTTGCACCTTCAGAGGATTAAGGTCTCCCAGACCGAGAGTATTTAAGGTCTCGCCAGACCGTGGGGAGGTACAAGTCGTACGTGTTGCAACGCGTGTGCGTGCAACGGATGATGTGTGCTACAACACATGCGGACATGCAAGCACCAAAGGTTTTGCACCCTCAGAGGATTTAAAGTCTCCTAGACCGAGAGTATTTAACAATGCGAGCAAAATGACGTATAACTCAATGCGTGTTCACGTCAAAGCGTTGTAAAGCAACGCGTGTAAGGCAACTTTTGAATATTGAAAGAGAAAAAATGATACAAAAAGGATACACCGCACCCGTATTCAAGTGCTATGCGTAGAAGACACGGTCTGAGGTCAAAACGGAGACTGGTTGAGCTTCGAAAATGCACTTTCTTGCACTGTCTTGAGCAATGAAGGCCCCAAACCACACATCTGACCCAAACAAGAGTGTATGAGGCTCACTGGCCACTGGAGGAGGTCACCGGCCATCCACCAACGATCAAAACAGATCACCGGCCATCTATTTGGCTGACCGGCCAACAGTGTGGCCGACTAGCCAAATCTGCTTGAATTGGGACAGTTTGGACATTTCGGCACGGGTCTTTTAAAATAGGGCCTCTAGCCCTATTTCTTCACTTCCTCCTTGCTCGAAATCTCTTTCCCTCTTCCTCTAGGTCACTTTTCTTCCTTTATTCCCCCTTTTTCCTCGATTTTAGGGCTCATTTCGACGTTCGATTCGAGAACACCTCATTGTTTCACACGTTTTGAACCGAACGAAACTTCATTTCGGTGCATTTTTCTTGATTTCCACCACTTGGGGTTTGTTTCCCCCAAGTTTTCCTTGGTCTTCGTGCCTTTTTCATGCCTCGGCTTTTTCGGCCATTTTCCATCCTCCCGGGGTTGACTTTTCGGTTGACTTTTCATATTCTTGCCCGGTTTTCACTCTTCCAGCCATTTTTGCACCATTCTCGAGATAGCAGATGATATTCAAGGCGGTGGGGTTCCCCCGGAGATAGATATGGACCCAGAGGCCGAGCTCTTGCCGCTTCACATCTGGCAATTCTATCCGGCGGCCTACAGACCGGCGATTCATGTGCTGCCTCCTGATGGACTTCGCCAGTTTAAGAGTTTTGACAGGAGGGTGCCCCTAGAGCTGCTTCTGCGCGAGCCAGAGACGCACCTTTCACATGGCGCTTCTAAGGTATATTCTTCCCGATTTTATTTTCTGCAAAGTAGAATACCTAATTGCCATAGTCGATTCTGCCTTTAACTATTTGATCCGGATACACCGATATACTATATGCTGTAGTTGACTGTGAACACACCTGCATTCGGCATCTTTTTGAATTGGAACACACGCACACACACTAAATTTGCCCTGAACCACTCAAATGCCCTGACACATCATACACTGTAGTTCACTGCGAGCACACCGGCACCCAATGTCTATTTGAATATGAACACGTGCACACACTATATCTGTACTGAACCACTCAAACACACTGACCCATCATATGCTGTAATTCACTGCGAGCACACCGGCACCCGATGTCTGTTTGACTCTGAACATGCGCACACACGCTGTATTGTTACCAATTTTGAATGCTCTTCAAAACTGTATATTCAATATTTCTTCGCAACTGTTTACTTTTGAGTTCTGGGGGATTCCCATGCCTTCCGGGGGTATGGGACCGTCGCCACCCGAGATTGGTACATGGAGCTACCGGATGTGTTCTGTCGTATTGTTGATCAGGCCAGCTTCGGCACCTTCTGCAGAGGACTCTCACGCCTTACCACGAGCAGGCCTTTGCTTGTCGCTCTAGTGGAGAGGTGGTGGGACACCACCGATTCCTTCCACTTCTTTGCCACGGGAGACATGACGATGACTCCCTTCGACTTCTCGATACTCACCGGCATCGGGGTAGGGGGCGATCCGATCCCCTTCGACACGGACATGGATGAGTGGGATGTTGCCTAGTTGTACTTGTTCGGCACTCGGCCGCCTCTCGCTCGGGCAGGGTTCGTCAGATATTCGTGGTTCGAGGACCACTTCAGGATTCAACCGGCCTTAGCCAAGGAGGCACAGATGACTCAGGAGGAGGCGGAGTGGTATGCACGCGGCTTCCTCATGTTCTTGCTGGGGACAACCCTCTTCGCCGACTGGGCGAACACTGTGCCCCTCTGTCTGCTGAGCACTTTGGTGGACGTCACACGGATCCGTCTTTACGACTGGGGTGGGGCAGCCTTGGCCACACTCTATGGATACATGAGCTCATCCTTCCGTTATAGCGGGCAGTTGCTCGGGGGCTACTGGCGAGCTTGGGAGGTACCTTTTCTTCTCTTTTTACATTTCTGCTTTACATTCGCTATACTCTGTACACTGCACACACTGCAGTCTGCTTCACGTTGACTATATGCTGCACCCACGGTACATGTATAATCTACTTTACACTAACTGCCCACTGCACACACTCTACATTCTACACAATACACTGCACAATACACGGTTCTGCGATTTCTGCTTCATTCTGCATTCTGCTTTATCTGATAAGTATACTGGTATTTGTTCTGCAGTTGTGGGTCTACGCCTACTTTCCGTGGCTTGCGCCGGTGCCCGACGAGGAGACTCCCCTCGGCGTTCCATTCTCTCGACGCTTCGATATGAGATGCGCGCGGAGACCCCGGGAGACGTTCATATTCTTCCGCCGCTACTTCGAAACCATTACTGCCGCAGAGGTATTTTCAACTTTAGAGTTTATTTCAAACTTTGCTTTGCATTGTATTTTCAATAACAGTAGATAATTGACTATTACCTTCAGATCACCTAGCATCCCAAGGCTCCATTGCCAGGTGCGATTTGAGAGCGGTTTGCCGGTGCTGAGGAGTCCGCCTGGTTTAGGCTTCTGTTGGAGGGCCCAGTTTGTCGGGCTTGGTACCTAGGCGAGTGCTTCCTGCGCTAGACCCTGGGTTTACTAGAGTAGATAGTTCCAGGTCCGCCCCTTGTCCATATGAGGGACACCGAGAGGTACACCCTGGAGGAGATGGCCGATTACACGATCGGCTGGGATGCTGAGGGCTTTAGGGGCGAGGGCGACTACACAGAGTACGTCCAGACCTACATCATGTGGCCTTTAAGCAGTGGTCGTCGAGCTGAGAGAGAGAGGCCAGCGGCGCCGGCAGCTAGGGCTAGAGCGGGAGCTGGAGTGCCGAGGGTGGCTCGGGTCCGTGGCAGGAGTGGGACCCGGAGAGGACGGGGGGCTAGTTGGCCAGCACTGCCCACGATGATGACATGCCGAGGGCAGGGTGGGGAGACCTATCAGATCCCCTTTGCTCCCCCTCCGGCTGATCACGAGTTAGTCGGGTTTTACGACTTTCCCCCGATATGTACTACTGCATTTTGCATCTTGGATTGTCATTCCATTTCATTTCGTTTGATATTCCGCAGAATACTGATGTTTCTAACACTTTTGCAAGCTTCATCCGAGTATACCCGCCAGTCCCTGGAGTTGAACGCCTCCATGATGGGGATGCTACAGTGGAGCTTCGACCTGCTGGCCATTTACAGTATCCCGGTACGTTGTTTTGACCATCATCTCAAACTTTGCATAATCTGATGCATCACACCATCAACACAATACTTGATATACGGCCCTCACGGCATTCGATACACTGTAGCCCACAGACTGTTCACAGCATTACTCACGATATTCATACACTGCACTCACACACTGCATTCTGTATTCATATACTGCTCACGGTATTCATACACTGTACTTACACACTGTATTATGTACTGATACACTACTCACAGTATTCATGCTCTGCTTTGCGTAGCATACTGATGCGTTTGCCATTTGTGCTTTTCAGCCTCCATTCCCGATGTTGGCCGCAGGAGGTGCTCCAGCTGGACCTTCTATCCCTACTCGAGGAGGAGGGCGAGGAGGCATAGTATATCCCCGCACCAAGGCGGGGGCGCACTCATGTCGGGAGTAGCTCTCGAGCACCGACCCCAAATGATGGTGAGTCTGAGGCAGAGGCGGAGGCAGAGTCATCTGAGGAGGAGACTCGAGATGACTCAGACTCAAGCTCAGATGGCAGAGCCGATGATGATGCTCCTGGACCTTCGTCCAGGAAGAGAATGAGGACAGACTCTCAGGCCTGAGATGATCGATGTTGATCCAGATTTTTGTTGTTTTTCTTCATTTCATTTTACTTTTTCTTCTTCTCTTTTTTTTTTTGGTTGGCAACTTGAGTACTTTGTACTGCCGCAGGCAGGTTCTGTTTTCTTCGAAACTTTGTACTTGAAAAATGATGAAATGAAATAAACTTTTTGTCTGGAAAAGTGTTACATTTGTGTATTTCCTACTACGCATTGCATTGCATCGTATCATATTACACCTCAATGTAAATGAGATTGATCTCCTGTGTGAAAATCAAACACTTGCATCGTAATAATTAGATGAGGAACCGGCCAACGGCAAAATAACTCATACAACAAAACTGCTCATTCTAAACACTTGGCTCGTAACACAGTGCTTGGTTTATTCTGAAAATTGCTCATTCTGAACCCATAGCCCATAACGCAGTATTCTTAGTTCATTCTGCACGCGGCGAAAACAGTCCAAATTTGAAAGGACGGAATACAAAGGTGGAAGCTGCTGAAGCTGAAACATGCTCAGATGCAATCCAGAACCCATATGTTCACTGTTTCCAAGTGACCCAGGTGGAACCCCTGCGGTTTTACAAAAGAACCAAATCATGTTTTGTACAAATGTGGAGAATGGCACAACACTCTGAGCACAAAGCGATTTGAGAAAAGGGTTTTCAACCGGGTATTGAGCCTACGACTGAACATAGTGAAAAAGACTCAATAACGAAAAACAAAAGGTAAACAACCTAAACACAAAGAGACACACCAAGAATCGACTCAAAACAAGAGTTGAGGTAAACAAAACAAAAGACACGACACACAAACGCGTTATAAAATGAGAGACTTCTCAGATCATGAGGAGCCAGTTTCTCCGGCTATTATTTCCCTCCCTCTTCCCATTTGTGATTCTCGCATCACTCGGCCCTCAGGCTCGGTTTTTCTCTCAAAATCTTTTTTGCTCAGTTTTTTCTTAGCGCACATCTCTCTATTCTTTACTCTCTCATTTTGTTTTATCCCTCCGCAGATATGGTCAGTGAATAAACAAGAGGTTGTGGGCTCATGCCCAACACTGTTAGCTCACAGCTATTTCCTTTGGTGACATTTAGTCGATGCCTTGGATGAGGGAGTGGAGTGTCTTGATCCATTATGGTTCGTGCTTTGTACTTGGCTCGATACCTCATTGCTCGGAGGTTGAGAGATCTTCCAGCCCTTTAATCACAGCTTCAGCTGTGCCCTTTCGGCAAGTATGCTGACGATCGGGAAAAGACAGGAAGCCTAACTCAACTGTGCCCCTAGTTCATCATTTTGACTATTTTTTGTTTTGGTTTTCTAATAAAACAAATTTTAACCAAAATGAGAGTTAGATTAACATACTTGTTCGATTTTTTGATTTAAAATCATGCAAGTCAGGCTATGAGCACTGAAAAGTTTCCTTTTTTTGGATCCAAGAAAATGGTCCAATTTTGGGAAAGATGGAATAATTTTCGAGAGAATAGTCAACCTCAGTAAAAATTCTCAAAAACCGGTTTTGCAAAGGGCCACAGCTCAACGAGCACGAAACCTACTCTTGAGATGCGCAACCTCGGGTCGGAGGCAATGGAAAATTGCCCCTTGTTCCAAAGGGCACAGCACGGCAACGGAAAGTTGCCCCTAGTTTGGATGCCGACTCACGGCAACGGAAAGTTGCCCGTTGTGTGGATAACGCCGCAACATACTGTAGTCAGGCCTCATTAGTGATGATTGCAGCTGAACTCTCGGATACAGAGAAGACGAAGATGGTCAAAACAAATATATGGACACAGTCACTTTGAAAGTGCGTGGGGCTGGACTTCAGGATGAAGTTGCCTACGTATCCCAAACATGGGAATCAAGCCTTACGTAGTTCCAGTTTGGGTTCACTTGTGTATTGACCCTCACCTTCTGCGTTATAACTTTTGCCAAGGCCGCCCTTCTGGGTTTTCAACCTTGTGAGCTTTGTTTTTCTTTTTCTTTTCAATTCTTCTCTTTTTTTGTTTCTTTTTCTTCTTTTTCCTTTTTTTTTTTCTCTTCTCTTTTCTTTTGTATTTTTTTCTTTTCTTCTTTTTTTCTTTCTTTTTTGTATTTTTCCCGTGCTCTAACTTTTGCCTGGGTCGCCGTTCCGGGTTTTCGGCCCAGCGAGCCTCTCAAAGGGTAAAAGTGTAACAAGTCCATGCCAAATGGTTTTAAGATTTTGAAGCCATCCACATTCAGGAGAGTGGCTGTTGTATGGATTTACAGAAAGATCCATCTTTGACTCTTCGAGCACATCGGACATTTTTGCCCCTAGTTCGAGGGGCGCTTCTGATTTAGCTTTGCAAGCTTCTTCTGATGAGGTCTGATCTTCTTGATCTGACTTTCTTGGCTTCTTGTTCGAGGGTTGCTTCAAATCCAGCCAGACAGGCCTTGCATTGCGGTTAATCGTTGAACAGTTTGAACCCAAGGTCCAAGGTTTGATAGCAAGGGCTCAAGTCTCGAGGCTGAGAGCTATCCTAAGCTGCACAATCTCAAGAGCGATTTCACACAGGTTTTCGCAGGACTGCGCAAAACATTTTGTTTTTGAAAGTTTTTAAGAAAGCGACAAATCGCTCGCGCTGAAGATAGTGCGGAACCAATCTGGATCAAGCAAGGGTCCTTCTCAGTACTCATGTTAACAAACATGATTTCAATCATTAAGGGCTTGGCATGCCTCTCTTTCTCTCAGTTTGATCAAAGTTTTGCAAAACCCGAGGAATTCCTTCCACTTTGTTTTCATCACCACAGTGTTCAAAAAGTTTTGAAAAACTTAGGTCAATGTAATGAATTCAAGGTGCAGAAGAGTAAGTGAGATGCCCCGCCATTTCATTCAAATTCTCTGGCACAACTAGCTCAAGGTAGTAGTAAACACGGAAAACATGATAGCCTTAGCCGTTTCATTCAGATTTCCCTAGTTGCAACTGGTTCCACAGCAGAGACAGATTCAAAAGAAAGCAAAAGGATAACGACAAAACAAAATAATCATATCCGAGGCAACAACCCTGGAATCACCTGATTTCTATACAGTGGGACTGACTCGATACAACAAGACAGACCCGTAAGCAAAAAGACTGACTTAAGACAATGAGACAGACTCAAAATAAAATAAAGAACTGACTCGACACCCGGGCCAAAAGTTACAAAATTGCATTCGCAAATGCTCCCAACAGTGCGTGCCAAACACCACATCTGAAATACACCGAGCACCGCCCGCAGGTGGTCCAACCCCTGATCACATACTTGCAGTATCCTAGAAGTCCAACAACTCAGTGGTGACAAACTTTGCTGAGGTAGGTGGGAGGATGACCTCATTGTCGATCAAATCTTGCACTTCGTGGCAAAGGCGGAAACAACCGTCGGTGTTGTGACCGGTTTGCTGGTGGTATGCGCAGTATAAGGCAGCATCATGTCTAAGAGGGAGATTCTTCAGGAGAGGCCGAGGTTCGAGGGGTTTAAGATGCCCCTTTTTAGCCAAAATTTGAAATGTCCTAGACGAAGGCATGTAGAGGGCATGAAAGACTCTGCATCCTGGAGGCAGGTACTTCGAAGTCTGAGAGTTCTTGCTAGATGGACTAGCGAAAGGGTCAGCAGGCACTGCCTTGGCTTTTTGATCTTTCCCTGGTGTAGGGTTGGGAGCGGAAGGAACTG